TAAATTCTTTAACCATATAACTTTATAAGTATTTACGCGTTTATCTCAAATATAATGGTTCTTTTAAAATAAAGGTCCCAAATTTAAAACTACTTCAATATAACTTTGATGTCATTATGTCTCGTACTGGTAGGCAGGCGAGTAGATCAGTTCGAGGAAAAGTTTTCGTTGAAATGGTGAAACAAAAAAAATTTGGTAAATGTATACCGGTATATGATTGGAATGATTTGATATATTGTTCAACTAGTTTACCAGTTATTGAAAAAGAAGTTTGTATTTGTGTCTTTTATCTATTTTTTTTTTTTTTTTAAAAAAAAAAAAAATACTTATTTAAAATCATAACTATTATCTTTAGGTAATTATTCCACCAAGTATTGATGGATATAATAAACCTACACAATTCACCGTAAAAATTGCCTATCACAAAGAAATTAATTTACAAGTTTTAAGGGATTATATTAAATCAGGAAAAGAACCGGAAGGACCAGATGATTATATTCAAACTTGTGTTCACGCACTTAATGCATACATAAATTACAAAGTGCGCACAAGTTTTTTATCTGTTGGAAGAGGAATTTATCCTCCTATCCAGGGGGAAAGAAGAATTTTGTTACAAAGTGGAGAAGAATTAAGAAAAGGGTTTTGTCAATCGTTGAGAATCGGATGGAGTAAGTTATTTTCCGATCTAAATATTATAATCTTATCTTATACGATATCTATGCTTATACATACATTCATTGTTCGTATAATCCTTACAGAAGAGCTTCTTGTTAACGTTGACACGTGTTCTGGCATTTTTTGTCCACCTGGAAATGTTGTAAACGTTATTGGTACCTTCTTAGGATACAGCGAAAGTGATTTGAAATTAGGACTCTATGACGAGGATAAATTTTATTTAAATAAGGTGAATAGAAAGTTATGATTAAATTATAAATTGTTTGTTAATTTACTTAAAGAAAAACATTATATTTTATAGATTTTGAAAGGAATTAAAATTTTCGTCCGGCATCGTGATGATAAAAGGGAGACTTTTACCATTGATGGGTTATCACGTGAATCAGCAGATCAAACCACATTTAAGAATGGCCAAGATGACAAAAATTCGACAGTTAGTCAATACTTCCAGGATACATATGGGAAAAAGCTTGAATTT